TAAATAATGTGTCGACACTAATATAGTTTGTGTCGATATTTTTTTCCCAGAATGAATTAAAACAAGGTGCACCCATAAAGTGTCGATCCATATATAAAAAAGTGTCGATCCCAAAATCATCGAACCCAAAAGTATAATGTAATATGTAATTTTTTAATCTAACCGGTACAATTATACCGGTTTTATGAGAGAATAAGTCTAAATAATGTGTCGACACTAATATAGTTTGTGTCGATATTTTTTTCCCAGAATGAATTAAAAACAAGGTGCACCCATAAAGTGTCGATCCATATATAAAAAAGTGTCGATCCCAAAATCATCGAACCCAAAAGTATAATGTAATATGTAATTTTTTAATCTAACCGGTACAATTATACCGGTTTTATGAGAGAATAAGTCTAAATAATGTGTCGACACTAATATAGTTTGTGTCGATATTTTTTTTCCAGAATGAATTTTTACAAGGTGCATCAATAAAGTGTCGATCCATATAAAAAGTGTCGATCCCAAAATCATCGAACCCAAAAGTATAATGTAATATGTAATTTTTCAATCTAACCGGTACAATTATACCGGTTTTATGAGAGAATAAGTCTAAATAATGTGTCGACACTAATATAGTTTGTGTCGATATTTTTTCCCAGAATGAATTAAAAACAAGGTGCACCCATAAAGTGTCGATCCATATATAAAAAGTGTCGATCCCAAAATCATCGAACCCAAAAGTATAATGTAATATGTAATTTTTCAATCTAACCGGTACAATAATACCGGTTTTATGAGAGAATATGTCTAAATAATGTGTCGACACTAATATATTTGTGTCGATACTAATTTAAATATCAAGTGTTTTCCACCGTTTATATAGTACTCTTAATCGAGAAACCCTAAACATAAATGCAAGCAGGCAGATCTTCCTCTCCTCTTTCTTCCTTCTACCGTTATCATAAGTGACGATCAGATATTCAGGTAAATTTATCGATATTTTATGGGTTTGATTGATTTCTATATTGGAGTTTTTATCCTGAATGTGTTTGTGTTCCATTGTAATAGGGGTAGCATCCAACCAAAATGGCTCCAAAACGTCAGCGTCAGAAGCGAGGTCTTTCTCAAAGCTCTTCTCAACCCAGTTCTTCTCAACCACCTCCTTCTGTAACAAACGATTCTTCTGAGGAAATCAGGTCCTTCGAAACTCTGAACTTTAGATCCGACATGGAGAAACAAAGATGGCAGACGAGTTTTAAAGTAAGGAAGATTCGTCCCGAACGTGTCATTGACCTGGGTTTCTTGTTTGATGATAAATATGCATTTAGTTTTAAATCCACATTTACATCTTGGGGTTGGCTTGAATTCCTTGGTGTAGAACCAAGATATTATCCCAACCTAGTTAGAGTCTTCTACAACAATGCTTCCTTACAGCACGAGCCTAATAAGACTAATATAATAGGAATTAATACACATGTCATGGGGAAGGATATATATATATCTCCAGAAACTATTGCGGAGGGTTTAGGTGTAGCGAATACAGGGGATTCAGATGAAAATGGTGTAGATTGGTCTACAATTAAACGGGTTACTAGAAATAGCCCAATTCACCTCGATGTAGAGTCGAGAGTGTTTCACAAAATGCTCACATGGTATATCCGGCCTAGTGGGGGAAAACATTCAACGCTTCGAGACAGCGATTATTGGTGGATAGCAAAGTATAAATCCAAAACGGCTCCAAACATTGCAAAACTCATATTTAATACAATTGTATATATGGTCACAAAGGGAGCAACAATTTCAACTACACTACCATATGGATGTGTCATCACCCATCTGTTGAAGAAGAAGGAAGTTGATTTTTCGCATGACGCCCCTGTTCGATTAACCCGCAAGATTGACATGGTATTTATTAAAAAAGCGGGATATGATTTTGTTGAAAAACTCGGTTGGAAGCGTGTCAAGGAGGTCGGATTAGATCAAGAGAGGGAGGAAATGGACCCCGTTGGCCATGAAGAAGAGCAACCAAGTGGAGACGCAATGATGGAAGAAGCAACAGTTGCAGAGGATGTCACAATTAAGACCGTGATGGAATACATGGTCAATTTTCGGGAGCATATGATTCCCTTGTGAGTGGAATGCGATCCGATATTTCATCATTGCAACGTGAAGTCTCCATGTTGCGTAACGAATTACGTCAACGACATCAAACGAGTTAGGTAATTCATTATCTATGTTTCTTAACATTTACACGTTCTGAACTTTATTTTATTTTCTTTTAACAGATGTGGACAACCAATCGGTCGCAGAAGATGAAGCTGACGATGAAGATGACGATGATGATGATGATGACGATGATGATGAAGATGATGATCCAAACAAGTATATCGTGTCTGCAACGCCGCCTTCAAGAAAACTTTTAATTTTGATCTCAATGGTGTCCTTGCCTACATCCCAAGACTGCCGGCAGGTTTTAATTCTATTCTTTTGTATCCATTATTTTAACATATAAGCGTAGAACTTTAATCTCATTTTCTTCATGTTGTAGATGTTGTCCTCAGAAGAGGATTATTTGAATTTATGCAATTTTGTGTCGACAATTTTGTTGTTGCCCTTTGGTCTTCAAAGATGAGGTTAGAACATGTTTGAGGCAATTGAATTACTGTAGTCAAAATCGTTAATATACATTTGAATGTTAACATTCAATCTTGATTACAATCTCAGGCATAACGTCGACCGTGTACTTGAGAAACTACCTGTATTTTCCGAGCATTTTCTATTCGTGTGGGTAAGATGAATGTCATTACAGTTTGCTGACTTTTCCTTGTCTATGATTCCTACATATTTATGTTCGACTGTTTGTGAACAGGATCAAAAAAATGCAAAACATACGATTCTGTTACCTATTGTAAAGATCTCAATGATGTTTGGAACGCGTGTCCAGATTTTAACGAGCTAAATACACTTTTGGTCGATGATTCAGCGGAAAAAATGATTTATAATCCGGTAGGTTGCATTTATGCAATATGTTTCTGATCAGTTGAACAGGTGTTCAGACATTGATTATTTTAACAACTTATGTGTTTATATAGAAATACAATTACATATGTCCACATACCTTTGACGCTGCTTCCCATTCGAACGACAAAGCTCTAGGTATCGTTTATATAATGTAATAGGTAATGGTTATATTGTAAAGTGTCTATCCTTTTTATAAAAGTGTCCATACTTTTTTCACTGTGGAAAACATTAATTTAAGGTTATCTTTTGAGTGAGTTTAAGATATTAATTTAGTAATTATAGGCGTCTAATGATTTATTTTTTACGTTACGGTATATATTATTAAATTAAAAATTCTAAATAATATTTTATAAAATATCAAAACAATCAAATAATTTTTTGTGCAAATGAAATTATTAAATCAATATTGTAGGTGGAAAACATGAAACACTGTTAAAAAAATTGAAACATAAATTACATAAGTTTTAAAAAAAGTATCGATCCTTTTTATAAAAAGTATGGACACTTTCAATATAATAGGTAAACATATGATGTAATAGGTAGCCCTTATATAATGTAATAGGTATCGTTTATATAATGTAATAGGTAATGGTTATATTGTAAAGTGTCTATCCTTTTTATAAAAGTGTCCATACTTTTTTCACTGTGGAAAACATTAATTTAAGGTTATCTTTTGAGTGAGTTTTAAGATATTAATTTAGTAATTATAGGCGTCTAATGATTTATTTTTTACGTTACGGTATATATTATTATTAAATTAAAAATTCTAAATAATATTTTATAAAATATCAAAACAATCAAATAATTTTTTGTGCAAATGAAATTATTAAATCAATATTGTAGGTGGAAAACATGAAACACTGTTAAAGTATCGATCCTTTTTATAAAAAGTATGGACACTTTCAATATAATATAATGTAATAGGTAAATTTGCAATGCTATCGGTATAAATATACTGGTTTACTTATAAAATAGGTAAATATAAGCGCTACCTATTACATTATATAAGCGCTACCTAGTATGTTATTGTACTTTATAATATTTCCGGTTAAATAATATAACATAACCGGTCTAAATTTTAACCGGTCACTTGTTTAACCGGTCACGCCGTATATTAGCCGTTTTTTAGGCGCCGCACCGCAGAACGACCCAGGTTATAGGACTTGGTTTTGAGCCAGGATTTCGCTTATAATAGCTTAGGGGTAATTGCATCAGATGTTCTCAAACAATTGCCTAATTTCTAAATTTGTCCATGGACTTCAGAATAGTCTAATTGAGTTCTCTAAGTGTAGTATCCTATCAATTAGCATTAACACAGCATACGTTAAATCCTTGCTCAAATTTGACACGAAATATATTCAAAATATGTGAATCAAATCATAAATAAGTATGTATACACCTAATGTGTGGATGGTTTAAAACCACAATGTTAGAAAAATGAAGAAATATCATACCAAAATTTTATTGAGACTATATTTTTATAACGAGTCTAAATTGTCAATACGATAGAAGCATATATATTTACAGTTTAATCCACTTACTTTAACTGTATTTCATATCAGTTCTAAACTTATATCTATCCCATAAATTTATTGTTCAACAAACGAAAGAATGTGATTGACACAATACTAGTACATTGAGGATTCAATTAAAATGTTTTAAGGTTCAAGAATCAATTTAATGTTTAAATGATAGTTTGAGGACATTGTGTGAAATTAAAAAATAATTAATGTTTCAATTGATTTCCTCTTTTTGAACAAGAATTGGGGTTTCAATTGTTTTGGGCTTACTGGTTAAAAGATTGGAATTTAGGCCTAATTTTTCTTAAAAGTATTTTCTTTTTCAGATTGGCTGTTAACAGTTTCTAAGAAATACCCAATTATTATTGGTCTTAAAACCCTAAACCAACACGAAAGAAAAGCTTAACAGAAGCCCGTTTGTAGCTGTTAATTACACCGGCGACATTTCTGAATTTTTGGTTCCACTTCCTTTTAATCAGGAAAATTAGCACACAGAGCTTAAAACGATGTCGCAGTTCTGGAAACCAGGAACCGAGAAGCCGCGCCTCCTTGAGGACGAGGACGGCGGCGTTGTTTTCTTGTCATCTTCCTTCTCTTCATCTTCGTCTGGGTATCTTTCTCCCATTCTTTTCATAAAATTGTTGTTCTTTGATTGTTATTTTTTCTGTTCTCTTCCTGATTTGTTTTCCTTTTTTTTTTTTTTTTTTTTTACAGTTACGGGTATGCGAGCATTGAGAAGCAAAGACAGAGGCTTCCAGTTTACAAGTATAGAACTGCTATTCTTTACTTAGTGGAAGCTCACGCTACTACCATTGTTGTTGGTGAGACTGGCAGTGGTAAAACCACTCAAATCCCACAGGTTTTCCTCCTTTTAGCTGTTTAATTACCTCCCTATTTGTTATTTGAAGTTTATTCTGATTCTTTTCGTTCCTGGGAATATTGATTTCAATATGCTTGAATTTCAGTTTCTAAAAGAAGCTGGTTGGGCTGATGGTGGGCGTGTTATAGCTTGCACGCAACCAAGGCGACTAGCTGTGCAGGTAGGTTCCAACGCTTCTATATATCCCTATCCTTGTATGCTTCTCTCTGCACTTTGAACTCAGATATGTATTTTCATTTTTTCAATTATTTCGTGCATGTATGTTCTTAGATTTTTGCTCAATAATATCTATTTTAATCTGATGTACAGGCAGTTGCTTCTAGGGTGGCTGAGGAGATGGGGGTCAAACTTGGAGAAGAAGTCGGTTACACTATTCGGTTTGAAGATATCTCTAATTCGGTGAGTTATCTAATCAATCTTTGTTCTCCCATTTTTGTCTTATTCAATTCTGTTTTTCCTTTGAAAGTTAAATTTGAAAATGTTGTATCTTGCATGCTTCTTTTCCTTTATGTGGGAAACTTGAAAATGTAGTATCTTACATGTGTTCTTTATCATGCAAAAAAACTGCTATGAAATATGGTGAAATTTCAGAATGATTCTGTTTGCAGTGCATTTAATTTGATGTCCTTGATTTTTAAGGTTATTTCATTTTGACAGTGCAGGATCTTACTAGGATAAAGTTTCTCACAGATGGAGTTTTACTTAGAGAAATGATGGATGATCCTCTTTTGACTAAGTACAGGTAATGGCTAACACTGGCGAAAATTTGATTAGTGCAGATACTGCTTCTTTTTAGCTACATTACTTTGCTCATTCCTGATATTATTCTGTGAGATTTATATATTTATATACTGGTGAAAAATTATTTGCTATGATATTTCCCCATATTTGCTAGTTTTCATTATTGTGAAAAATGATATTATGCGCAATTCATCATCGTTCATGCAAAATCAGATTGTCAAATTGGCAGACTAGGAAATCGATGATATTCTGGTCTGCTTGTTAGTCAACAGTGGCAAGGATCTTATGGTTTTCATCCTACATTTTTCTATTAGACTATAGCTCTTCTTTTTACTCTTTTTGCTACAAATCCTGATCCCTTTGAAATTTATGAACATATGGTCATCATGGTGGATGTGGTTCAGTGTTTTTTTATTAAGATAAAAGAGAGTAAAGTTTATATGCCTTTGGCAGTGTCATTATGGTGGATGAGGCGCATGAAAGATCCATTTCAACAGACATTTTACTTGGCCTTCTGAAAAAGGTAATACTTCTAATACTTGGTAACTTGAGTGTTGGACGTAGTAGGAAAAACTAGGAGACTGGCAAATTTTGGCTTTTCCTGCATTGGTCCTGTACTCTCTTAATCTTTTCTGAACATTGAAATTCAGATTCAAAAACGTCGACCTGAGCTGCGTTTGGTTATTTCTTCTGCTACAATCGAAGCGAAGTCAATGTCTAATTTCTTCCTGTCTAGGTTTCCTTCTAAGCATTCTAGTGAAGTGCTTCTCATTTATTAGAACATTTCTTCTTTTCTTCAATCTCTATAAAGATGATTTATTTGTTTATCAGTATTTGTTTGTTGCTTTGGATTTCATTTAGTAGATTAAAACCCGCAAGTTTATGATTTGATCCTAACATCTTGCATTTTATGTAAACTAGTAAAAGGCGCCAAGCATTAGAAGGTGAGGAGCTTAGACCTAGCTTGGAGCCTGCAATCCTATCCGTTGAGGTATTTCATTGGCAGTATCACACTTATGTCCCTTTTCAAACACATGCGTGAACTAACGAATTAGGTCTTGTTCTGCACTCAATTTTCAGGGCAGAGGGTTTAATGTGCAAATTCATTATGTGGAAGACCCTGTAAAAGATTATGTTCTGGCTGTTGTTTCAACAGTGCTATTGATCCATGACAAGGTATTTTGAATATTGTGTTAAATTCAAAATTGTAGAGACAATTTAAATTCATTATATTGGTGCTAATAATTGAATACGGCTGCAAATCAAAGAATTCTACATATGATAAATAGTAATTTTCATTTCCCAATATTTTTAGGTGCCTTTTTTTCTTCTGAAAGTGTTCTTTAAAGATCTAATTCCTTCCCCGGAAGGCTTTCTTGGACTAATTATGGTTTTCTCTCCCTAGTTCCTACCAGTAGTATGGACCGATATTGTCTAAAAACTTTCATGAAAGGATTCAACGCTGCTAATTTTGTCACCATATTTTATCTGTTGAGTAGGAACCACCAGGTGATATTTTAGTATTTCTTACTGGTCAAGATGATATTGATGCTGCTATTAAGTTGCTCACTGAAGAAGCTCGAGGGAATGGGAAAACTTCCTCAGGTTTAGTATCATTTCATATACTTTGGACTTTTTTAATCTTTATCTTATATCCACTAAAAGGAACTTGCAATAATTATCAAATGTTGGGTGTTTTTATGCCTGGGCATGTGTACCTATGACTAGGTTTATGCATGTTATCAGAATTCCATTGCAATATTTTGATGCATAGAATTACCGTTGATTTGTGACCTGCTATTGGTTAGTTGTCACCCTGTTATTTAGAATTTGTGTACATATAGTTGATGCCTAGCATTACATGTTCTACGCTTAGACTTTGTTTTATGCCCTTGTGTGCATAATTATGACTCGATGTATATATGCTATGGAAATTCCATTGCAAGTATAATTTGATGCCTAGCATTACAGTGGATTTGTGACTTGTTATTAGTTGGTTGTCACCGTGTTTGATGCATGTGGTAGTAGGATTCTTTTGTCTTGAAACAAAATAGAAAATTCTGTTGGATTTGAGGACAATTAGTTAATTTTATCTCCATTTCAGGGTTGACTATTCTGCCTCTGTACTCGGGACTTACGCGTGCAGAACAGGTTAGATGCTCTCTGTAATATTGTGACTTATTTAGGATTTACTTAATAGCCTTTCTGGTTTTACAGACTTCTTTTGTTTCTTTTCAGGATTTGGTGTTTTCTCCAACTCCTAAAGGAAAGAGAAAAGTAGTGATATCAACAAATATAGCAGAGACATCATTGACTTTAGAGGTAAGATATTCATATTCTGGAGTTTTTGGTTAAACTTTTGTTTGTAGTAAACTGTTGTTATATTCATGCCTACATTTGTTCTTGTGTTTGGTACTTTGGTCAGGGTATTGTCTATGTTATCGACAGTGGCTTCTCAAAACAACGATTCTACAATCCGGTATCTTTTATGCTTTTTTAATTGAATATTGGTTAATAATGATGTTGATGACTCTGTGTTGTCCAGTCTTGGATCATCTTATGCCAAAAGCCCAAAAGAAAAAATTGAAAGTTTTACCTTTTTCCGCTATATTGAAGAATGAAAATATTTTAATTTTACAATATGTTCATTTATGTCAATAGTCACCAGGTTTGTTAGTTCAAATTCCTGATTCTTATGACTAATTTTTAAACCAATTTCTAGAGGTTTTAGTGGAAGCCTTTAATTCCTAAGTGAAACACCATTTCAAATTCCTGTTATAGTTGCTAATCATGTTATTCCTATTTCTCCAGATCACAGATATAGAAAACCTTGTAGTGGCACCCATATCCAAGGCATCTGCTAAACAAAGGGCTGGTAGGGCCGGTAGAATTAGACCTGGGAAGTGTTACAGGTGTCTAATCATCTCTAGAAGTTAAATATTTCTGATGATGAAATCATATTGTCTTTGACTGAAGTCTTTTGATTGCTTCCCCCAGACTCTATACGGAAGAGTATTATCTCAATGAAATGTCTGTTCAAGGAATTCCAGAAATCCAAAGGTCAAATTCCAGTTTCCTGTGTGATTCAGGTATCTTGTTTGTGTGATTCTAATTTCTTTGGCTCTCAGCTGTTATTTTATTATATCTTGACAAACTTAATGGTGTGAGCTAGAGGGCTCCCAGCCTTTCAATACATATGTTGCTAAAGTGCATGTGTAACTTTAACTTTGGTGTTTCCTTCACGTAATGATGTTAAAAGCTGAATGAGATCTAATTTTGATAAGAGAACATTCCATCATTTTGCTAACTTCTAAAGCTTTGGAGAAAAATATGGTGAGAGAGAGCGTATTAGGAGGTCCGTCCTCCGGTGAGGAGTGGACAGTGTTTGTAGATAATCTTAGCATGAGAGTCACTTGGAGAACAGTAAAGGAAATTTTTAGTCAACAGGGTAGTGTTATGAGAGTTTACATCCCAAATAGTTCTAACAAGCCAAATTATAGAGATCATACGTTTGCGTTCGTTCAGTTTGCGAAGGAGGATGGAATGAAGAAGGCGATTGAGAATGTTAATGGTATTTGGATTGATAGGAAGAAAGTTTCGGTATGTGTAGCTAAATATCGGAGGCAGAGGCACATGCTAGTAGTTGGAAGAAATTCCAGAAAAGATGAAGATAAGTTGAGTAAGGGAGCGAACTGGAGGAGTAGAGTTGGATCTCAGTCTTTCAGTCGTTTGAGGGATGAAAGGTCATATAAGGATGCTTTAGTCTCGTCTGATGGGATGAGGAAAGGTCCGGTGGAGGAAAAGATTAGGGTGGGTCACCCTGGTAAAGATGCTGGAATGAGAAATCTTTGGGAGATGCATATTCCCTCAGATGAATGGGATTGGGTGAAGAGATCATTGACTGGGATTATCAAACCACACTTTGATTTGGAGCTAGTGTTGAAGGGATTGGCAAGTGATGGGATCAAGGTTAAGGGAGCTAAGTGGGGTTATGCGTGGAACTCTTGCATATTAACCTTTGATTCAATGGAAGAGTTTAAAGAGGCGTGGTCGAGCAGAGTAGAGGAATTATCCTTCTGGTTTGATTGGATTGATTCTCTTTTGAATGATGATGGGGTACCGATGGCGTTTTGTTCGGTTGAGTTAGTTGGAATCCCCTTATTATGCTGGAGTGTTTTTTTCATGGAGAAACTTGTCTCAAGGTGGGGGAAGTTAGTCTGTATCAACGATTCGACGGTGAAAAGAGAGGACATGGCGGTGCAAGGGCCTTGCTGAGGGTGGCCAGTCCCTTTGATGTACAGGAGTCTGTTATTTTGGGCTCGTATGGGAGATCTTTCAAGGTCAAAATTAATGTGGGGTCGATCTATATAAAACAGGAAAGTTTCTCAGTAGGAAACTCAACGGTGGCCGGCGAGGATATGTTTAGAGATGATGAAGTTTCAGAGGAGGAAGAAGACAGGTTCTCTGATGGGGTTGGTAGACCAGACTTGCCAGCTGAGGATACTAGGGATAGTGTTGACAGATGGTTAGTAGGGGATGTAAGTACAGCTGTATCAGGCGGCAAAGGGGGTCAGAATTTAATATGGCAGGAGGGAGAAGGTCAACATAGAGGACTAAAGATGTCAGACTGTCCAGCAGAGGATTTGAATTTAAGAGGGAATTATTAGGGTATTGGGATTAAGAGTAATTTTTCCAATGAGAGTGATAAAGCCCAATCAGAGGACTTGAGTGAGCCCATTAGACTATCAACTGCTGGGCCAGTTGTCATTTTAAATCGATTGGGCTGTGGTAGAATTATAGAATCCTGGGTGGAGGAACTAGGAGACCCACAGAAAAAGGTGATGGACGACTCAAATAGGCAGGATCAGGATATAGCTTTGCCTGAATTCAACTCAAATTTGCTTGTTGGTGGAATTAACGTCAGTCTACAGACTAAGTTTACAAATGAGGATATGGTAGATGAAAGAGAAATTCGGGAGAAGGAAGTTGGTAGAGCAGAAGGAACAGAGGTGGAAAGGGTTGAAATTCCAGTCCTACTGGCTGGTACTCAGGGGCGGAGTATCAACAAGGAGTTTATTTCTTATGGTTTAAAAAGAGGTTTTCTTAAGAATAAGAAGTTAAGGATTGCTCCAAGTTGGTCTGATAGTTCTTGTTCGGAGGGTGAAGTTTCATTTTGTTTCCACGATCGAATTTATGAAAGACTAGATAGAGGTCTGATAGGGAAAATATGGATCAAAACAGTGTTAATTCTCTGTCCCCACACAAATCTGTCGAAGCAAGATTGGAAGCTGCTGCTACTAGGGATGTGTGTGATATGTTGGGATCTCTTTCAAAGGGGGTAATCATGTGTTGGAAGAGGAGATCTTGAAGATGGAGCTAAAAGGCTTCTTAGAAGCTCTTGACTGATTTTTACAGGACGATAAAGGTTTGGTGCTATTGTTAATTATGTCACAAATCAAGTTGATTTCATGGAACGTTAGGGGGCTTGGTAGAAAGGAAAAATCCAGAGGAATTGCAAGATTAGTTTCAAAAATCAAACCGATGATTATGTTTCTTCAGGAAACTAAGCTGAATAAATGCCAAAATGGATTGTTGAGGAAGTTAGGGGGTACTTCTTGAAAGGTTTTAGTTTTCAGCCGGCTACTGGTTCTGCAGGGGGCTTAATATGTATGTGGAATGAAAATATGTTTGAAGTAAGCAGGGATTTTAAACACAATAGATTCATTGCGTTATCAGGAAGGGTTAAGAGTCTCAACTTTGATTGTGTTGTTATTAATGTGTATGGACCGTCGGTTGAGGCTGATAAAGAGGAATTTTTAAGAGAGCTGATGTGTTTTATACAACAGCTTGATTTGCCTGTATGCCTAGGGGGGATTTCAACGCTATCTAGATCCCGAGGAGAAGATTGGAGTTGCTCAGAATTGGCATTCAGTGGAGTTATTCTCCAACTTTGTCCTAAATTTAAACCTTATGGGTCTACCTTTAGTTGGAGGGAGATTTACTTGGTGCAATAATAGAGAAGCTCCCACGTGGATTAGATTAGATCAGTTTCTATTAAGTGGTGCGTTTTTTCAGGTATTCCCAAAAGTTATCCAGAAAGTGTTGCCAAAATCCTTATCTGATCATAATCCTATACTACTTAATGAAGATCTCAAAAATTGGGGCCCCAAACCTTTTCGGTTTTTTAACTACTTACTAGAGGAGGATGGGTTTAATGGGGTGGTTCAAAATGCTGTGTATGATCTAAAGAGGGAGAATGCCCGAAGGGGTATGCCGAGTATTCTTCAGGGAACAAAGAAAGCGATTAAAATGTGGCCAAACGGTAACAATATGGGAATTTCAAAACAGATATCAGAGCTGGAAAACAGGATAAATGACTTGGAATTAAAGTCTCAGGGTAGGGAATTTCTGCACAAGAATGGGGTCAACTATTATCTTGGAGGAATGATTTGTGGAGTTTGCATGGGAAGGAGGAGAGTATTTGGTTCCAAAAATCATGTCTTAAATGGATTAAGGAAGGGGATAGAAATACCAGATTCTATCACATATGTGCTCTTAATAGGAATAGAACGAATGCTATTTCGTCTTTGAAAGTGGCTGGGATAGATATCTCTAATCCTTCTCCGATTAGATCAGTTATCTTTGATTTTTTTAAAGTTAATTACAATGAGAAAACATCTCTGGAGGTGGATGAATGTAATCTGAATTTTGCAAAATTGACAGAGGAACAAAAGACTGGCTTACAAGCTGATTTTTCTGAACAGGAAGTGTGGGATGCTGTCTTTAAGTCGGACAGTGCTAAGGCACCTGGTCCAGATGGGTTTACAGTGGGTTTTTTAAAAAAATTCTGGACTTTATTGAAGGACCAGATCATGCAGTTTGTTCAAGATTTTCAGAGAGGAAAAAAATGGGAAAAAGGAGTGAATCATTCCTTTATTACTTTAATTCCCAAGAAGGTGAATCCTCAAGGAATTGAGGATTTCAGACCTATTAGTCTTGTTGGCAGTCTTTACAAGATTATTTCTAAAGTACTCTCCAAAAGGCTTGTCTCTGTTATTAATGGTTTAGTAAGTCCTTCACAATTTGCATTTATTCCGGGTAGACAATTGCTAAATTGTGCTCTGTTGGCAAATGAGGCATTGAATATTGGAGAAAACTAGGGAGAAAAGGAGTTGTCTTTAAAGTTGATTTCCGTAGGGCTTATGATTCGGTTGAGTGGCCTATCTTATTCAGAATTATGAAGGTTATGGGTTTTGGGGAAAAATGGATCTCATGGATTAAATGCTGTGTTTCTTCTGCCTCTATTTCGGTGTTAGTTAACGGTTCACCTACTGAGGAATTCAATATTAGCAAAGGGTTGAGACAAAGGTGCAGTCTTTCCCCTCTCCTGTTCAATTTAGTGGGGGAATTATTAAATCTTATGTTGATTAATGCTGCTGATATAGGTCTGTTTCAAGGGTTCAACATTGGTAGGGTTGGTAATTCCTTTCAGTTGTCACACCTACAGTTTACAGATGATTTAATCCTTTTTTGCAGAGATTCTTCAATGCAAATTCTAAATATTAGGAGAGTATTGAGGGTTTTTGGTGCTATGTCTGGGTTACACTTAAACTTGTCTAAGTGTTCATTATTTGGGGTTAATATGGAAGCTGACAGGGTTAAGATTGGGCTATGAAAGCGAGCTGTGGAGTGGGGTCTTTTCCAATGTCTTATCTTGGTTTACCGATTGGAACTAGGAAAATTCAAAGGTATGTGGGAACCGGTTGTCTAGAATTTTAATAAGAGATTAGCTGGGTGGAAAGCTAAATCGTTGTCGCTGGCGGGCAGACTTGTTTTGGTTAAATCCGTATTATCATCCTTGCCAATCTTTTTTCTATCTATTTTCAAGATCCCTCTAAAAGTGACTCAGAAGTTGAACTCGTTGATGGCTAACTTCCTTTGGGGTGAAGATCTTGATAAAAAACGAATTCACTGGGTGAATTGGAAATCGGTTAGTAAACCAATCGAAGAGGGTGGTCTGGAATTCTTGACTTAAGGTTGATTAATAGGGTCCTACTTGGGAAATGAGTTTGGAAATTTGCTAATGAAAAATATAGTGTGTGGAAGAATATGATTTGCTGCAAAAACAACGTTAGCAGTATGTCTCTTTCAATTTCAAATGCGGCTTCACCTTTAGACTCCTGAATAAGGAGAGGTATCCTCAGTAACTATGCTAAGAATGATCAGATTGGTGATTGTTTGAGACAGAATTCAAAGATGAATCTGGAAATGGTTGGTCGATTGCTTTTTGGAGTGATGTTTGGATTACTAATCTGCCTTTAAAAAACCATTTCCCCAGAATTTTGCTTTGTCGACGAATAAATGGGGGATGGTTTCTGAGTTTGGGGAGTATGAAGATGATGTCTGGGTTTGGAACATTTAACTTAGAAGAAATTTGTGTGATTGGGAATTGGACCAGTGGATCGCTTTAATGTCATTGATCGACAAAATTTCGTTGGAACGATCTGTGTATGACTTCATGGGATGGTTCGGAAAGGGGGATGGCATGTTTTCGGTCAAATCTTGTAGATAGTCGTTACAAGGTGGGTCGGAAGAGAGTTATGAGTGGAAGAAGTGGGTTTGAGATGGATTGGCACCTCCTAGAGTACAAACTTTTCTATGGCAGATCTGTCATCAGAAATTAGCAGTTAGAGTGGAATTGAAGAAAAGAGGGATTTAGATTTCGGAGGTTTTGTGTCCATTATGTCGTTCTAAGGATGAGTCTATTGCACACCTATTCCTATCGTGCACTGTTGCCTCGGATTTGTGGAGCAAATTCCTAAGGTTATGGAATATCTCTTCGGTGTTGCCTCAAGACCCTTCTGCTATTCTGTGCTCGTTGTCGAACCTAAGGCATAATTCACTTATTTGGAGGTTTATTCCGGCTGTCATCTTCTGGTCTATTGGAAGGCAAGAAATTTGGTTGTTTTGAAAACGGCAAGTGTGACTCTAATATTCTGTTCTTTATCACTAGATTTAGATTGGCGAAATGGTTCTTAGCTAAATACCCTGGTGTTCGGATTCAGACTGACCTTCTAGTAAGGGATCCTACGCGGGCTGATAAACTCCTCCCTAGTTCGAATACTAAGAAGGTTATTGGCTGGACTCCTCCACCATCGGATATGTTCAAACTTAATGTTGATGGGGCAGTGACTGGAGATGGGATGCAGGGTGGTATTGGTGGTGTTTTGAGAGACTCCTTTAGTTGCTCTTTAGCGAATTTTTCTTCTGCAGTAGGGCTGGGCCTCCCTATAGTGACTGAACTAAAAGCTATTAAGAATGGATTGGTCTTTTTCTTTTCTTCCATTTGGGCTAACAGGGGTAGACTTATTTTGGAAAGTGATAGCAAATGTGCAGTTAAATGGATTTTAAAGCTACAACCTGCTCCTACTTTTTTCAGTGATTTGGTGGAGGAAATTGGAGTTCTTGTTACTGCTAAGGGAGTCGTTCTTAGATGGGTTCCTAGGAGTTGCAATATGGAGGCTGACAGGTTAGCTAAGCAGGGGATCGGTTGAGTGTTGCAAGCGTTCTGTTGAGTCTGATGAACTAGCTGAGGATGGGTTAGGCTGAGGGGTCTTTGTTTCCCATCGCTATTTGTATTAATGTTATGTTTTATTATCGAGGGTTAGAGTGTTATGTTTATCTTATGTTATTCAGGGTTAGAATGTATTGTGTATATTATGTAATTATGGTCTATTAATAAATTGAGGTACTCTTTTCCTCCCTCAATTAGTTGCCACTTATCAAGAGTCAACTATGAGGGAGGTTTTTAATGAGACCTCCTATTCCTATAAAAATAAAAGATCTAATTTTGATAATATTTAATGAGATATTCTGTAATTTAATCTTGTAAAGTGTTTTAGATGCTAATCTTTGTATTCTTATATTGCAGCTAAAAGCATTAGGCATTGATAACATTCTGGGCTTTGATTGGCCAGCATCTCCATCTCCTGAATCAATGATCCGAGCACTTGAAGTACTTTATTCACTTGGTGTCCTTGACGATGATGCCAAACTTACTTCACCTGTTGGTTTCCAAGTTGCAGAGATTCCACTGGTAAATAAGTTTATACAACTTCACCTAAGACCTTTATTCATTCATTTTAAATTTTTTATTTCCATGATGTCTTCCCCACTTATTACTCCGAGGAGAGAGAGATGCCTAATTAACAAAATGCTAATTACTTTTTGTTTTTCTTTATTAAATATTACTTTTGATTTCCATTGTGGTTTCCTTCTTGCCCGTTGTATTTCTAGGCACATGCTTCACTACTATATGTTTTGCAGGAACCAATGGTTGCAAAAATGATAATATCTTCAAATGAGCTTGGGTGTTCATATGAAATTATTACCATCGCTGCTGTTCTCTCTATCCAGGTAAATTACTTCTTGCTACCTCTTTTTTGTTTGTTACACTTCAAATGTTTTTCTTTCTTCAGTTCCCTCTCTTGTACTAGCCTATTCATTCGTCTTCTCTTTTCCCTTTTGCTTTGCAGTCGATCTGGTTTCTAGTCGGGGAGCAAAAAAGGAATTGGATGAAGCCAAGTTGAGATTTGCTGCTGAGGTATTCCTAGCTGAATCCAACCTGCATTTTGATTGTTTTGCTTTGTTTTTGGTCGCATCTCAAGTATCACACATTTATCATCTATTTGTTTTAATACTAGGAAATGGATTCAATTTATCAACGTCTTAATTAGTTTTTCCGGGTTTTCTTTCTTCATCACTTTCCTGACTTGTGTTATTGTAATAACTCAGTTATCAGCTAGCTGCACCTGTCTCGAATCTTTACTTATTTATTTTTGGTGCAGGGTGACCATATTACTTTCCTGAATATTTACAAAGGATTTCTCCAGTCGGGCAAGTCTTCGAAGTGGTGTCATAAGACTTCATAAACTACCATGCCATGGTGTGTATTATTGTTTAGGCATGTTTTAGAGTTTAAGATAGTACAGTTTCGCTCTGATACACAATTATGTATGTATAAGCTTTTACTTAAAGTTTTTGTTGCATTTCTTAAATGTTTTATTTATGTTAAAATCAGCTTTAATTCCTTTTACAGAAAAGGTAATGGAAGTCAGAGAACAACTCAAAAGAATAGCGCTGAGGTTAGGCATAGTCTTGAAATCTTGTGAAACAGATATGCAGGTAAATTAAAACTTTTGTTTAATCTTGAAAGAAATAGGAAAGACAGGCATTGTGATTGTTGTTAAAACAATGAAATTCTGTGTATTTATGATGTAGGTAGTGTTACATATTTATACAAGTAGCAGCCTTAACTTAGGAAACTCTTAAGCTAGGAAAGTAGCTAATTCTAAGAAATACACAATCCCTTAAAGTTGGGGATTACAACTACTAAGGAATATTTACAGAATCCTATCTTAATTACTCGTAATATTCCTAACTTAGGAATCTATTTTATGACACTCCCCTTTAAGCTGGAGAGTTGGATGTCTTCCATCTTCAACTCGCCTGCTAACTTCTAAAAAAGCTTACTAGGTAGTCCCTTTGTAAGTATTCTGCAACTTGATCTCCGTGGACACATAGGGAGTACAAATTAGCCCACTGTCGAGTTTCTCCTTTATGAAATGTCTATCCACTTCAACATGTTTTGTTCTGTCATGTTGAACTAGATTATGAGCAATATTAATTGCTGATTTATTGTCACAACACAACTTCATTGGACCTTCCCACTTAATCTTTAAATCTTCTAAAATAATCTTAGCCACAACAATTCGTAGATTCCAAGTGCTATTGCTCTAAACTCAGCCTCTGCATTGGATAAATCACAAAATTGGAATTCAATCGATATTCTTAGATCCTTTGTGCAGCAAGCGAATCTCATTGATTTGCCTTTGTCAGGAGGTGCTTAAACGTGGTGCAATAATAGAGAATCTTCAACTTGGGTGAGACTGAACCGGTTCCTAATTTGTCCCAGATTTCTTTATAGTTTTCCCAATGTTACTCAAAGTCTTCTTCCGAAGTCAATTTCAGATCACAATCCAGTTTTGTTGGGGGATGTTTCTATTAATTGGGGGCCTAAACCCTTTAGGTTCTTTAATTTTCTTTTAGAAGAACAAGGTTTTGTTGAATTGGTAGAAGAATCACTGTCAGTAGAGAAAAAGAAGAAGAATAGAGGGGGTATTTTCAGGTTGTTACAGGCTGCAAAAAATAAAATCAAAATCTGGCCTGGTAGTTGTCACAGAGGACTGGGTGAATCCATCTCGCAGCTGGAATTTAAAATCAGTGCTTTGGACAGAAAATCTCAAGGTGGAATTTTGTCTTCAGGGGAGTGGAATCAGCTGATTGAGTGTAAAAAAGTTATGGAGGCTGTTGAGAATCGAAGAGGATCTGGTTTCAGAAGTCTAGAACAAGATGGATTAAAGATGGAGATAGAAATACAAGGTTCTTCCACCTTACTGCATTGAGGAGAAACAAATCAATTCCATTCATTCATTGAAGTCTGAAGGGGGAGTTATTTCAGATCCAGATAGATAAAAACTGTTTTCAATTTTTTTAAGAAGGCATAAATGACAAATCAACTCTGGAAGTTGCAGGCTTTAATTTTGATTTTAAACATTAACAGCAGTTCAAAGAGATTGTCTTGAGGCAGAATTTCGGAGCAAGAAGTTTGGCAAGCAATTGCTTCTTCTAAAAGTTCTAAAGCTCCTGGCCCGGATGGTTTTACCATGGGATTTTATAAGAAATTCTGGCTGAAACTGAAGGCCCAGATCATGGAGTTTTTTTTTCTGATTTTTACAAAGGAAAGGAATGGGTTCATGGGGTAAATCATGCATTTATTACCTTGATTCCTAAAAAAGGTAATCCAGAGTGTATTGAAGATTACAGACCTATCACCTTGTGGGTAGCCTATATAGATTCTTTCCAAAGTTCTGTCTAAGACTTTCTTCATGTGTTAATGATATTGTAAGCCCAACTCAGTTTGCTTTTATTCCGGGGAGACAATTGTTGGATTGTGCTTGTTTAGCAAATGAAGGCATTGATTTTTGGAGGAACAAGGGCTTAGAGGAGTTGTTTTTAAAGTCGATTTTCAGAGCATATAACACAGTTGACTGGCAGATTCTTCTAAGGCTTTTGAATGTCATGGGCTTCGGTGAAAGGTGGTGTTCTTGGATTTCACAGTGTATTTCCACTGCCTCAATCTCGGTTTTAGTCAATGGGTCGCCTACAGAGGAGTTCCCAATAGCTAAAGGCTTGAGACAAGGATGTAGCCTTTCTCCTCTTTTGTTTAACGTGGTTGGTGAACTACTTCACATGATGTTATCCAAAGCTGTGGAAATTGGCCTATTTCAAGGGTTTGCGTTTGGCAAAAACCAAAATAATTTCACTTTGTCACATCTTCAGTTCGCAGATGAACTTATTATTTTCTGTGGAGCTTCCATTACTCAGATAAAGATGAGACGAGTTCTGAGGATTATAGCTTAATGCGGGACTTCATCTTAATTTAGCTAAAAGCAAACTTTTTGGCATCAATGTGGAGGATGATATCATGGGAGATTGGGCTGCGGCTATTGGATGCTCAGTAGGTTCATTTCCGACAGTTTACTTGGGACTTCCGTTAGGGGCAAAAAGAAATTGTGGGAGCCGGTTCTTGATAATTTCCACAAGAAACTAGCGGGGTGGAAAGCCTCTTCCTTGTCATTGGCAGGTAGATTGGTGCTTATTAAGTCGGTTTTGTCATCTTTACCTGTTTTCTTTCTATCTTTTTTCAAGATACCTTCTACTATTTGCAAGAAGTTAAATTCTTTGATGGCGGCTTTTTTATGGGGTGATGGGGCCGAGAAGAAGAAAATGCATTGGGTAAGTTGGGATAAGATTTGCAATCCTTCGAGTTGTGGAGGTTTGGGAGTTGCCGACTTGAAATATTCTAACCGAGCCTTGTTGGAAAGTGGGTGTGGAAGTTTGCTAATGAAAAAGTTCATTGTGGAAGCGTTTCATATGCACCAAACATGATGTTAGTTGCGATTCCATGGATATTACCAAAGTCCTTTCACATAAGGACTCTTGGATTTGGAGGGGAATTGTTAATAACTTCACCAAAGATGATGTTGTTGGAGGTTGCCTTAGAGCCCATGCAAAGTTACAAGTAGGGAATGGCAAATCAATCTCATTTTGGAATGATTCTTGGTTAGGGATGTTCCTTTGAAAATGCTTTTCCTAGGATTTTGCTCTTTCTCCAATCCAAGGGGGCAAGGTTGCTGATTTTGGGAGCTTTGATTCAAATGGATGGGAGTGGAATATTAGAACGAGGAGGAATCTCTGTGATTGGGAGGTGGTTCAGTTGGTGGAGCTATTGGATAGACTCAAAGACATTAAATTAACCGAATCTTTGGAGGATTGTTTGCTATGGGATGGAGTGGGGGAGGAGTTGTTTTCGGTTAAAGCTTGTAGGAAGTCTTTTCCCTATTCTAATGAAAATTCATTTTTTTGGAACAAATATGTTTGGATGGGTTTAGTTCCTCCAAGAGTTGAGGCTTTCCTTTGGCAAGTATCCCATAAAAAATTACCGGTGAGAGTGGAGTTGAAGAAACGGGGGGTTCCCTTAGGGGACGATATTTTATGTCCTCTTTGCAATCTTTGTGAAGAATCTGTTCAACATCTTTTTATTTCTTGTCAAGTTTTGTGGGAATTGTGGAATAAAATTATCGGCTTTTGGGGTATTTCTTGTGTTTTACCCTCTGATCCTCCCTCCCTCCTTAGCTCTTGGACATACTTGAAGCTTTATTCTGCCATGTGGAAGTTCATTCCAGCGGCAATCCTATGGTCTCTATGGAAATTTAGAAATGATATCATCTTTAATGGAGGTAAACTGGACAGTTTCGCTTTGTTTTTCACAGTTCGGCTAAGGTTAGCGAAATGGTTCTTAGCAAAGTATCCAAAAAGCTCTATTCAGGTGGATTCGTTAATTGTTGATCCTTCATTGGCAGACACTTGCTCAGTTATAAAAGATTTGAACAGGCCGAAGGTTAGTTGGAGTCCACCTCCAACTGACTTTTATAAAATGAATGTGGATGGAGCTGTTGTACTGTTGGGATCTGCTGGAATTGGGGGTATTCTCAGAGACTGGAATCGGACAAAGCTGATTTCTTTTTCAGAAAATGTTGGTCACTCCTATCATCGTAGCAGAGTTGAAAGCAATCAAGAAAGGAATAGATTTATTTGTTTCTTCAGAATGGGCACCAAAGGGAAGGTTAATTGTGGAATCTGATTGCAAACTAGCAGTGGAATGGTTGGAAGATCAAGCAACTGTCCCTACTTTTCTTACTAATCTAGTTAAGGAGATAGCTTCTACAATGTCTGCGCACGAGATTATTGTGAGGTGGATTCCGAGATGTTTAATTGTGAGGCTGATAAGCTAGCAAAGGAGGGGATTGGGTGATTGATTGTTGTTTCAGCGTTGTGGCATTCAGTAGTTATGATTTTTAGCAGTGTGTTTAAGTTTTATGTATCTTGTAGGACTGTTTTTAAATCTTATGTAATTCTTTTGCATCAATAAAGTATGGCACTCTTTTCCTCCTTCCGCTAGTTGGTT